GGGGGGGGGGGGGGGCTTGGCGGAGATATTTGCAAATCTTTAATAGTATATACTATTCTCACGCATACGACTGTCGACTGTCCACTCAACAACACTTCATTCCTTTTTAATTAGAGCATATCTACAAGCTTATGTTCATACAAATGATGAAGATAACGCGCAGTTAAAGTTGCAATAATCAACAGTTTTAAAGATCAACAATGGATCAAATGCCTGTTTTTCTTGTCGGGGAAAGGCCACGTGAACCGGCACGTTTCAGTTTTGACACTGCATTGTTGTTTGTTCACTCTCACTGCTCTCTTGGGTGTGTCTGCAGCTACAGCAGCCAGTGGCTTCCTGTAAATTAAGCTCTGAATACCCACAGTGAACAAACTGACCAGCAGCAAACAGTGGCCTCATGAGAGTAGTGAGAAGCAGGCAGGGAGACGTCTAGCAACTTTTTTAGGGAACAAAACTGGAGGAGAGAAAAAATGTAACTGAAATGACCAGAAACACAGAATGTTTATAATATTGATTTGTTGGATGTGGAAATAAACCACTGCTGGAAAACACTCGTCAAATGGAAATGTGAGGTGATGGCGTCAGTGTAAGTTTAAGGTTTCAGAATTCAGCTCAGCTAAAGTTTCCTCTCCTGGTAATTTGAAGCTCTTCTCACATATTACATGAACTCTCCTTGGATGGCGTTTGTTCTTGTGCTCACAAGTGGAAAAATTAACAAACACCATCCACTGATAAAAACCTATGATAAGGTTGAGAGAAGCAGAAAAACCCAGCAAGTGAACTTGAGTTGTTATTGTTGGGTCACACTAGTTTCTCAGGTCCAGAATAAAAGATTGAACTTTGATGCTTTTATGTCCTCTTTTCTTTTTCTCTCTCAACTTAAAGGTGCAGTGTGAGAATTTAGTGACATCTAGTTGCATGTTGCAGCTGAACACCCCTCACCTCACCCTCTCCTCCCAAACATGAAACAGAACCTGTGGTAGCTTCAGTTGTCATAAAAACTCAAAAGGTGTTTAGTTTGTTCAGTCTGGACTAATGTAAAAAACATGGCGGCCTCCGTAGAG